AAAAAACTCTTTCTTACAAATTGTTAAAATCGCTTAAAATCCGCAGTAAATATCTAACAATCTATAGAAAATGTCTGGAAACGCTAAACGAGGTGGTAGAGGTGGTAGACAAACACGTAGCTCAAGCCGTAATTCCCAAGCAGGTGGAAGTAGGCCAACTAGTCCTGAAAACCAGTTCACCTTCAGTGCACCGAAGGAAACTGCTTCTCGTCATGAGAGTATTTGGAAAACATATCAAAAAAAGCTGCAACCAACTTCTGATAAAAAGATGACAGAAGCCATGGAAGCGGAACGTGCTATGGACATGGAAAAAAGTATTGTTCAGGATACTTATGGCTTAAACTCCAAATCTCCTTCTGGTAACGTCAAAGGAATAGCTACTGAAAAGTCCAAGGCGGTCGCGAAAGATTTGTCACGTGACCCTCCCTTACCTCCGCAGAATATTGTTAACAACGTGAATGGAACCAATAAGGTTCCAACTCTTAACAAAGAAATTACTTCAACTCCTCATACGGATCAACAACAATCTGTTGTATTGCCTAATCAGGAAAAGATTAATCTGCAAGCCGATCAAGGGTCCCAGCCCATGGATGTTGATCCTAGTATTTCTAACAAAGACCCATCGATCGTTACTATAGAAAAAGTAAAAGAGCACATTGCACTTGTTCCATTCGGTGAGCTTATTGGAGGAAAAGGTTTAAAAACTACTAAAATTAAAAAGGCGCTACAAACCTATAATATCCAGTATAACAAACAACTTCCAGTTACCCCGTTGGGGAAACAAGGGGCCAAGGTATTATTTTTGGATAAAGAAAAATAAAATGGAACTTGTTATTCAGGAGCAAAAAGAAGGTGATTCAGGTGAAGTGTTTAATGTGAAACTCCAACCTACCCCATTAAGGCCTGAAAAGGTGGTTGTTACAAATGAAAAGGATAGTGATACATCACAAAATTCCAATAGTCGTACAATTCAAGTGATCGATATTCCCGTGTTTCGACAGGTACGCAAAATTTGTGAGTCCTTTGAAGATCTTGGCGAAATTAAGAAAATTTATACGAGAGGTGCTGGTCTTTACCAAGTTGCTTTCATTACTTATAAGGATGCTACTTCTATTAATTACTTTAAGGAGCAATGGAGCTATCATATTAATAAAGACATAGTTAGAGTCTTACCCCTGTTATTGAGCAAGGAGGAACGCGAGATAAGGAAGCAATTCTCATTAAGATTATCAGGTTTACATTATCAAACTAGTGGTTATGATCTTAAGGAAGTTATGACACAATGTAAAGGGAAAACTTGTTTCATCCCAGCTGTTATGATTCATGGTAAATATCAAAGATGTCGTTATGCTTACATTCATTTTTCTTCGCGAGATGATTTGTTAGCAGCCAGACAAATGAATATTGAATTCAAAAAGGGCAATGCTGGTACTCGGCAGTTATATTGGAGTAAAGAGGAAGATCGCATTTGTAATATTTGCAGTAATCCCACTCATATGGCCAAAGACTGTACTAACAAAGATATTAACAAATCTCATTCTAAACGGTTTGTTAATGGTGCTGATAATTGGAAAAATTTAAAAAAGTCATATGCGGATGCGGCTAAATCTAAACAAAAGCCCAGAAATAGTTCTAAGTCTAATAAGAATATCCCCTCTGGATTACGTGATCAAGGAAAAGCTCGCAGCAATCATAATAATGATGAGGACGATAATGAAGATTTTAATAACCATCCGATGTTTTTAAAATTCAAGGAACAAATTATTAATTCCATAAGGAAGGTTGAAGATAAATTGCTCAATATGGAGTCACTCATTAGTGATACTGGCAAGCAAATTGGTGAGGTTGTCACGGCTCAACAAGCGCTTAAATGTGATAAAGCGCATCCAGTTTTAGTTAGTAAGAAAAAGAAAAATCAATAATCAGATAATAGTGCAGAAGTTAAAGCGAAAAGACGCCGTAAAAGTGATTCTGAATCAAGTGAAGATGAAGATGAACTTGCGAATAATTCTATTATTCAATCGCAACAATTCCAAAAATCTGATCAAAATATCCAAAGTATTGTTGCCCAACAAAAGCAAATACAACAAAATCACCAGGAAACTAAATCCTTACTGTCATCTCTTTACAACATGTTATCTGGCGGCCCTTCAGCTTCATCATTATTGGAGGATAATGATGAAGTTTTTGATGATTCTGTCGTTTAATTATTTTTAATGATGAACAATTATAATAATTTTCTCCCTTCTTCTTCTCAACAACAACAAAAAAATTTCCCCCAAATAGAAAATAACAATCCAGTAATTACAAAAAATTCTTTAAAAAATTCTTCAATAACGAAAATAGCTACTACGAATATTCGTACCCTTAGTAAAGACAAATTAATTTTCACGTTAGACGCGATGAAAAACAATGATATTGACATATATGGATTAGCCGAGACTAATCTTTCTTATAGACAATCTAAAATTTGGCAACAACAATTTGTTTTCCATGGTTATTTTGATTATTCACAACAAGGGGGTAAAGGTCAAGGTGTAGGAATTATCGTTAGCGATAAATACGATATATTTGTTCATAAAGCGGTTGGTCATAAAGGCCGTGTTATATATCTAGACTTAAATTTTAGTCAAAAGAAAAATGTTAGGTTAATTCAGGTGTACATTAACGCTAATAAAAAAGAAAGAACACAAATTGAAGAGTTGTATCAATATATCGAAAATACTATCGATGATGCGAAAAACAAGAATATGGAAATAATCATTATGGGTGATTTCAATATTAATTATAGAAAATATTTGATGGCATTTGTTAATAATAGATGGTATTTCAAATTGTTCAAAATGCTAGAAAATAGACACCTCTTAGATACAATTCCAATATTTAATGAAGATGATGAAAATATACATACTTATATTCCGCCTAATGATTCTAATGAAAAATCAAGAATAGATTATATTTGGGCTTCATTACCAATACTTGGCCAAAGTTTGAATAGTACTGTAATAGAAAATGATCATTTTACAACGGATCATAATACTGTTACTTTATCGCTTGATACACAATTGTTTATAGAAAAAACATTACCTAAGATTAACAAAAGTAAAAAGAAAATAACTCGTACTGTATTTTTATATGAGGAAATGGATCAGGAAGATGATGAATTCACATGGGATAAGTTCCGTACTGGTTTGGATCAAGAAATCGAAAGACTCAAATTAAAGAATTGATTGATCACGAAAAGAAAACATGTTGATCATGTGTGGGATTCTCTTAGACAACTTATAATGAAATCTGCTAACGAAAATATTAGAAATAAAAAGGTTATTAAACAGAAATTCAAATGTGCTCCTGAGAAAAAGTTGTCCGTATACTTTGACTTAAGATATATTATTAATCGTATTCAAGAAATCCGCTCATGTATTACAGGATTAAGAAACTATCCAAATCAGAAAACGATCGACAAATGGATTAATTATCAAAACGCGATAATTAAATTGAAAGACAAGTATGAGTTAGTTACTTCTGACAATAGTTTTAATTTCTTAGATCATGATCAGTTCCATAGATATCTTGATGAACTTAATGAAATTAGAAAGCAATTGAGAATTGTTTTTAAACTTGAACTTAACATTATGGAACAAGAACAAATTATTTCTAGCATCAAGAAGCGATGTGATAATTATAAAGATGATCAAGGGAGAATGATTCAATCTATTACAGAAAAAGAAATGGTTTCTATTTCAATTGAAAAAATTTATAAGAAAGATCATAATGGTAATGAAGTTTTAATTACAGATGAGAATCAGGTG